GGCTGGAAGGTATACGCACTATTGCTGTCCCTGGGTGGGCTGTGGGCAGTGTGAGCCATGGATGTGGTATGCTGGAGCTTGTGAGAGCTGTTTGTTAAAATGTTAGGAAGTTTCAGAGCTGGTTTAATTCTTTTTTCTTTTCTTTTTTTTAAGATTTTATTTTTAAGTAAACTCTGCACCCACCTTGGGGCTCGAACCCAGAACCCCGAAATCAAGAGTTGCATGTTCCACTGACTGAGCCAGCCAGGAGCCCCTGAGCTGGTTTAATTCTTAATAGAATTAAATTGTATACACTTAAAATTAAATTCGTTACATTAAGAACAAAGGATCATGCCTCAAAACTCGTTACCTCTTTATTCTATTATTATATATTATTTTTGTGCACAGGTGGTAATTTATATCTGTTCTATATCTATGGTAGAAATACTATATAATGTTTGATGTGCTACCATTTATCTTTTTCTAATTTAGCACTCAGTGATAGTTAATAGCTTGAAATTGGCTGCAGGTGGGAGTATTCATACCACAGACATTGGTAACCCTGTAAACCAGGAACTACAAACCACTAACTGCTCCAGGTTGTTAAAAATTTTCCAGCATACCCCTGGCTATGATTATCATTCTCTGTATTCCTTATAGATGGTTTTCCAGGCCTTTTCCAGGCCTTGGACATGCACACTGATCAGTACTCAGCTCAAGGCTGAGGGGAATTTCTGTAGATCTTCTCATGTTCTGGGGACCGTAGTTACTTTGGCCTTCCCAGACTACTCAGTTCATCTTTTTAACTCATTAATTACCCTCCACACTCTGTAGTCTGGAAACTCTCCCATCAGTAAGCTGGAGCAGTTATAAGCTTTGCCTCATTTGTTTCTCCTCTTTCATTGATCACTGTCCTGTGTTACGTTGTCTGGTTTCCAGTGTCTGAAAGAAAAAAATGTTTTCATATTGTCCAGATTTTTAGTTGTTTTTAGTTGTTTTTGGTGGCAGCATAAATCTCATTCCTGTTACTTTGTCTTGGCCAAGAGTGGAAGTCCCTTGGAAGCATTTTAGGTAGGAGAGGGACGTAAGTGTGCATTTTAGATCACTCTGTAGAACATGCATTTATAAGGAATGAGACTTAAAGTAGAAGGACCAATTAAAAGGCAGGTAAGTTAGTTTATGTGAATGATGAAAGCCTAAGGTTGGTCTTGGATGTTGATACTACAGAGGTGGGATACAATATGGGAAATATGTAGGGGAAAATCTACTGCCGGGTTTCTAAAAGGATGGATCATGAGCTATTTGCATCTGAATCACCTGTGGTTATTGATAAAATGAAGATTCTGTGTCTTACCCCAAGTTTATTGAATCTGAATTTCTAAGGATGAGGTTTAGAAGTTTGTAGTTTATTTAAAGATTTTATTTTATTTTTTAAAAAAGATTTATTTGTTTTAGAGAGAGCACACTCAAGCGTGGTGGAGAGGGGCAGAGGAGAGGGAGAGAAAATATCAAGCAGACTCCCTGCTGAGTGCAGAGCTTGTCATAGGGCTCAACCCCACAACTCTGAGATCATGACCTGAGCTGAAATCAAGAGTCTGCTGGTTAACTGACTGAGTCACCCAAGTGCCCCTAAAGATTTTATTTTTGCATAGTCTCTACCCCTAATGTGGGGCTTGAACCCACAACCAAGATCAAGAGTCACTTGCTCCACTGACTGAACTAGCCAGGCACCCCTAGAAATTTGCATTTTAAACAGGTACCTAGGGTAATGCTTATGAACACAAAAGCTTCAGAAGAAACTGATGTAACTTTTTTCAAAGTATGATCCATATCCTTGGGGAGCCCCTACTTTGGAATGACCTGAAGTGCTTAATTAAAGATGTAGATTTATGCATGCATATCCAGAACTACTGAATCTGAATTTCTGGGGTGGTTGGGTTCAGGAATCCTTTTTTTTTTTTTTTTTTAATTTTATTTATTTATTTGACAGAGGGGGGAGAGAGAGAGAGAACACAAGCAGGGGGAGCGGCAGGCAGAGGGAGAAGGAGATGCATGCAGAGGGAGAGGGAGATGTAGGCTTCCCACTGAGCAGGGAGCCAGATGAAGGGCTCGATCCCAGGACCCTAAGATCATGACCTGAGCCGAAGGCAGATGCTTAACCAACTGAGCCAGTCATGCGCCCCAGGGTTCAGGATTTCCTTAGGCACACTAGTGTTTGAAAACCAGTAAGCTAAAGTACTTCACAGACATAATCTCTTCTGAACTTCAGAGTAACCCTAAGAAGTACTCCTGTGTATTAGATGAGGAAATGAAGCATAGAAGAGCAAAGTGTCTTACTCATGGTCAGATAGTTGTTAGTTATTTTTGATGGTAGGGAATCCTATTTCTGTCTCCTTCTATCAAACCCATGCTTCTGCTACCTTTCTGTTGACTGTGAAATATAGGTTTATCTCTAAAATCTTTTGAAGGCATCCAAGACACAGAAACTGTGGTTCCAAACAACTTAGGGACCCAGGAAAGTGTGCTCTTCTTTGGTTATACTTTGCACCAAATATTCAATTTAGTTCTCTATAGCAAGTGAGTGTGATAAGTTTAATTGTCTAGCAAAGGTGTTTCTGTCCCTGAGCATTATTCTAATGCTTTTTACAGCCACCTTTGAATGTCCTCATCTGTTTCTTTTAAAATCATTTGGTATAGTGCACAATTCAATATTTTCACTTATAACCACTGAAGAATTGGGTACTAATATGAATCTATATATAACTTTTGTCCTGAAAATTTTCTAAGGTTCTATAAAACTAAAAAAAGTTTCAGTGTCTTATAATTTAGGTTGCATTTAGTTTAGACATCACAGTTTTATAGTAAGTTTTGTAGCTTATAACTTTGTTGTATCAGTAGAACTGTTAATATTTTCTAGTGGGATTTTCTGTAGTCTTTTGAAGTGATTTCATATGTGCCATGAATCTTAGATCCTGTAATCTATTTAGCACAGTAGCACCAGTGTTAGACTGCAAATAGTAGGAAAAGTAATTCTTTTCAGTCAAGATTGGTTTTGGATTTGCCTTTGGAATTCTTGAATAGTCTGTTGATTTTATTAGTATGTGAAAACAAGCAAAGTTCTGTAGCAAGGAATAAATACGGAGGCCTTAGGAATAGGATTTAAATGGTTTTCCATTTTGTATGCTTTTAAAAGACAAAATAGCTAAGTTTTTTAAATTTCTGGAAGTTACTATAGTTAAATAATTCAAATAAAAAATTACTGTAGCTATCACAAACCAAACTACTTTATCTGCTCCATTTGAAATGTATAGTGAAGGAAACAAAGAATGCAGTGTAAGGAGTATAAGAATTTTGGCTAGTTTAATTTGCTTGTTACAAGAGAATATATAGCAACTTTTAAATTTAGGAATAAAGCTGTTACTGTTTACACAAATAGTGTTAATTTTTTATGGTATTGTTTAACATTTGTAAACAAATGAATAGACTTGTAAGTGCGTAATGGTAGATATCAGTGTTTCTTAAACACTATTCCATTGTCTTGTTCTCTTGTGTTTTTTTTTAATTGAAACATAACCGGCATAACATTATATTAAGTTTCTACTCCAGTATAATGAAACTTTTCACTGGTGAGATCTGGCAGGTTGACAACTCCACTGTCAAATTTTATTCACAAACAGGTGTAAGGTTCTCTTTACCTACCTACCTACCTACCTACCTACCTACCTACCTACCTTCCTTCCTCCCTCTCTCCCTCCCTCCCTCCCTCCCTCCCTCCCTCCCTCCTTCCCTCCCTCCCTCCCTCCCTCCTTTCCTTCCATTCATTTTTGAGAGAGAGAGCGAATGCTTATATGCACATGCCCACGCAAGTAGGGGAGGGGCAGAAGGAGAGGGAGAAAGAGAATCCAAAACAGGCTCTATGCCCATCATGAAGCCCAACTTTGGGACTTGATCTCACAACCCTGAGATCATGACCTGAGCCAAAATCAAGAGTTGGACACCTAACCAACTGAGCCACCCAGGCACTCTAGCTATCTGTATTTCTGTGTAGATTTTTGCTTTTTCTTTTTATTATATAGGAATTTGGAATGGCATACAATGGTAAATCATTTTAGAATGCCATTCATAATATGAATGAGGTTTTTTGTAGCTCATGTTTTTCTACTAATAAACTGGTTGAAATGACTTAAAGTTTTATATAATGCTTTTTTTCATGATTATAAGCTCATTGATGTGTTTCTCAGAGTTGTAATCTATAATCTAAAAATCTTAGATTTTTAAGCAGCTTACTTTTAGGGAATGTTTGGATAGCTTACTGTTCACAAACTATTCGTAGAGGGGTAAGACAAAATCATTACTCTAAAAGACACGGAATGTTTTAAAGTCACATTTAAGGAAAGTCATGATCTTTTTTACTGCATTTTTAACCATTATAGATTTATTATTAAAACACACATACACATACAATACTTGTTTTTTTTTTTAAAGATTTTATTTATTTCTCTGACAGAGACACAGTGAGAGAGGGAACACAAGCAGGGGGAGTGGGAGAGGGAGAAGCAGGCTTCCCGCCGAGCAGGGAGCCTGAGGCGGGACTCGATCCCAGGACCCTAGGATCATGACCTGAGCCGAAGGCAGACGCTTAACGACTGAGCCACCCAGGTGCCCCAAAATACTTTTCTATTAATGCCTGAGCAATTACAGGCTTCTGGAAAATGAACTATGTCTACATTGGTAGTTAGAAAAGGAGTCTGTAGAGCTCTCAAATTTGTAAAAATTTTAATTTAGAATTAAATTTTGAAACATTTTATGTGGGTACTCTGAGAAGCATTGGTAAGAGTGTTAGCAAATCATCTTAGTCTATTGAAGATAGCACCTATTTTGTAGCCTAATATAAGGAATTATTTGTGCAGCTTAGTAGAGAATGCAGTGTGTTACCTAAGTGTTTAGAAATATCACTTTTATCCACATATCTGTAAATAGTAACACATCCATAGTGACTATATTGTGGTTTCCCTTCACAGATACCAAGTTGTGCTAGTACATCCAATATAAATAATTAATACCTGAAGTCTCAATGTAACATGGACATTAACAGTGATGACAGATAAATACAGACGCTTGGGAATCAAATACTAGGCGAAAAACACTTTTAAAAAGGTAAGAAAAAAATGTAATCTTAATTAAGGCCAAGGGGGCTTTAGTTAGTAGAAGTAATTGACTAAAGTTTCTTTTTCAGTGTATCAGGCTTTTAAGAAAGATATCTGGGTGATCCTGTCTATCATAATACTGTTAGAACTCAGCTGTAAGTATCAGTTCTTCTGTGAAAATGACAGTTGCAGATATCCTTGCCTTGTAAAAATACCATAATGGGTGAGGTTCCTATAGTAAACCCAATCCACAATGGGTAGAAGGTGGCCAACTGGAACTGGAATAAAGTGCTAGAATGGGCATGTCCATGTGTACTCAGAGACACATCTTAAATTGTGGATCCTCTGCCCCTGATGTTTGCCACCCCCACCACACACTATAGAATGTAACGTTTTGCCATGTTTGTGAAAGGCTTTCAAGGTTGGGTATTAAGGAGTTGGCAGTTGGAATCTTTGTTGTAAGATGAGTGAGTTTTCAAGTCAAGGGTTACTTTTTGTAGGATCATGTTTTCACTGTGTACCCTCCTTATGTTAACTTAGAATATTTCTTAATGTAGTATTAAATAATTTTATTTAGACAATTTTCCTACGTTGTGTTTTTCACGAATTTACAGGCGATATTTGGGAGAGGTTGCATCTGTAGATATTAGATATTAGTACTGATCTCCTAGCTTACTAAAACTGTAATGTTTATTTTTACTAGGCAGTAACTCTAGTTCACAAGGTTTGTTAACTGCATCAGTTTTAAAATTGTAATCCTTCACTGTGAAAATCTTTTAGAATATCTACTTTTAGAATATTTACTTTCATGTTTATAATAAAGTGACAGGCTGCATCATAAACATCACTAGTCTTTTCCCTGGTGTTCCTCCTTGTTTCCAGATGGGCACTTATGATAACCATTTAGCCAGATTCTCTGAAAAGGATATCATATATACATTATTATAAAGTAAAACTCTTAATTAAAGAGACTGTCCAAGAAATGGAGTATACTTAGATTAATTAAAATATCTGGCCAACTGGGTACTAAAAGCAGAAAATCCATATTGTTTTTGTCCTAGTTGAAAATCCATATGCCAAAAATATTAGAAATTTTTCATGATAATAGAGTCTTAAGGCACTTTAGTAATCATCAGGGTTATCATACAGATGTTTGAAGACTTAGTTGATTCTTTGGTATGCATAACTTAAATTATTTTTGTTGTTCAGTCCCAGTTTTGAATACTTGAAGGCCAAAGTTTGGGAGGGCCTCTAGAATAAGAGTAAGAGATTTAAAATTCTGTGTGAGTAATTTTATCAAAGGCAGTCTTTGGGTCACCTCAACAAAATATTGCCCGTAGACTCTAGAGAAGAGTGGAGTCACATTTTGATGCAAACTGGTAATAAGTTGTTATGAGGATTCAGTATATTTCAAGGTCTTTTTGGTTTGTTTTTGTTGGTTTTTAAAAATCTTTTCCAGTTTCTTGGTATCTCTGAGGCTACAGAGTTATTAAGATGTTACTATGAATAGATATTCTGTTATCTGCTGTTTCCTCTTATAGAAGGGGTAAATCTATTAGCATAAGTTAATTTGTTTCTTTAATTTTTTTTTTATTATTTTATTTTAAAGAAAGGAATTTAGGAGGTTCTAGTATTCTCCATGGCTGAAGCTGAGAGTCTGAAACCCTGATGCTTAAGCTCTATTCTAGATCATAGCTCCAACTCCTTCAGGATATAAAGAAAAGAGATAATATTTCCACAATGATAGATCTTTGGTTGTACAGGTAAGTTACTTAGTTTTGCAGTAGTGAAGAAAACTATAGTTTGATATTTTTTGTGGGAGGGTTGACTTGTTACATTTCTATACTTTCTTCTGCATGGCATTTTGTGCAGTCTGGCTGGCAGTTCATAAGAATGTGGAGCTATAGGGAATGGGTTAGGGATGAAATATTTTCCCACTCTTCCTAACAGGGGTATAAATGAAGTGACTAAGTACACTGGAATCTCGAGAGCATTATACCTGTCTTTGACACCCTAGGTATTTTTGATTCAAGGGGCATTATGAAATTCCTTGACTTCTACTTCTCCCCAGTTTTTTTTTAAAGCATGTATTCATTCAGCTTTCTGTCAATGTATCTATGTTATCTATATCTATCTGTCTCTCTTAATGGGGAAGAAAGAAGAGATCACTTTATGTAAGGCAATACATGATAGAATTCACAGCTTCAAAACACAAATATTAAGAACTTTAAGTTGAATTGCATAGGTGGGTTCCCATGTTTCACTCTCCTACTTTTAACCTGATAGTGGTAATTGCTCAGCTGAAGAAATTTGTCTTAAAAAAATTGCATGACAAGGATGGTCTGAACCGTTACTAAGCAACTCATGTTTATGTTCTAGGTAGAAATCATATTGGTAACACTTTCCAGTTGCTCTTGCTCTTTTTGCCTTTCACTTTGGTTTGGTATGGTATCATGACCAGTTTCCTAAAAATTGTTCAATTAATGAAACTAAATATTGTGATGATAAATACTGGCTAGAACGTTGATGTTAATGGACGATTGCCAGTCCCTCAATTCCCAAAATAAACCATACTACTTTAGTAATTATAGTGGAGCAGAAGGTTATAGGCATTATCTTTGAAAAATCTTTTTGAGATTTCTTTCTCATAAGTAAAGGTGATAGCTAGAGTAGTGTTTCATTAGGTGGACCGTTTTAGTTTAATGTTTATTCCTTTTAGTTCATATTGATGCAGTTCTGCAGATGGGATCACAGAGCTGGACATTTATGATCTGAAATGCAGCTGATACTGTTTCAGAATCCTACAGTTAGATTTGAGGTATAAGTAGATTCAAATTTGGGGGGAGGATAGTTCAACAGCACAGATGAGATGTTAGAATTATAGGTAGGATTTGGGGCTTAATATGAATAGACAGGTTGAAATTTGGTTGACTGTCCTTGATGTGCTCTCCAATAGGATGAAAGCTTATAAGGGTGGAGAAGAAAGGATGGGAGTCTATTTAATTCTAGTGATGAGTTGGTCATATTCTCTTCTGTTCTAGGAAGTGCCATATTCATTAGATGGTAGATAACATAGGAAAAACTTCATTCTAGTTGCTAGATTGCGTTTTGCCATATGAATATGTTAACTAACAGTTTCTCTTAATTCTGAAATTAGAGTGATTGAATTTCTAGTTCTAGTTGGGTGCTGGCTAAGGTTTTCACCATGTGCCTCCTATTTAGTTAACTAGCAAGGGTATTTTCTGAGATACTTAGTTTGTAAATAAGTTCCTTTCTGTTCCCTTAGTAATTTAATTTTTAGCAGGAATATAATTTTGTGCTCCAAACCTCTTCACTGAATTTCTTCAGTAACTGTATTATGCAGCTAAAATGAGGAAGACAACTGCTTTAGTCTATAATACTTAGCTAAGCATGGCAAAACAACTTTGAGACTTGGTTGAGATAATTAGGACAGATTTAGTCCCTTTTTGGTAATCGAAATTTGCGCTGTTTATTAGATAACTACAGAAAGTATGTGCCTTTATATATGCCTATTCAAAATAGAAAAGATGAAGAAAAAGGTTAGAACAGAAGAAAACAAAATCAGAGGGAAGAGTGTTTAAATTTCATTTAGTCTTCAGAATTTTTACCATTTATTACCTTAAGCGCATGCAGTATGTTAATGTCAGGCAAGAGACTGAGTCCTCTCTTCGGTACTAGTTCAGCCAAAGTAATCATGGCTTTATTTATAAATTTTTATTACTAGACTCAAATAAGGAATTAAAGGATATATTATACAGAGATCTAATTTAGTTTGAACCTGATGACTGTATTATTTTAAAAGAATACTGTCTGGATGTAGTGGTCTAAGTCAGTGCTTCTCAAATCCTGATCGGCATGTAAATCACCTGGGAATCTGATTAATTGGTCGGTCTGGGGCAGGGCCTGATATTCTGCATTTCCAGCAAGCTTCCAAGAGTTGCCATGATGCTGGTTCTCAGGCCACACTTGGGAGTTTGCAAGAGTTTGAGGTACCAAAAGGGTCCTTGTATAAAACAAGTTCGCTTTAAATGTGGCTCAATGGCACGGGATTTGAGAACTGTTACTAAAATGGACTTTATTGTGGTTGATGAATGGAATAAAAATGCTTTTTAGGGATGAGAAGAAACAAAAAGAGGTTTCATCTTTCATATTAATCAGTGTTTTGATCCCTGGAATAGTGAAGAAATAGGCCCTCATTAAGGTGGTGTTTTACAATTATACATATTATGTATACATGTATAATCCTATGTAATAGGATATCCTATGTAACATATATAACCTTATATGTTCTTTACAAGTAACTGAGTAGTAATAATAAGAAGTTTATTTTATTAATAATGACAAGGCAGAGATTTTGCTTTCATTTAGATTGGTGTGGAAAGAAAAGGGCTAGGGGTGCCTGTTACTGGAATCCTTTGAAGTTTATATGCCCTATTTGACATTACATTTTAAAAAGTAAAGATTAAGAGATTCTTTTTGTGTGTTTATAAAATATTACTATTGACAGTTATTTTTGAATCATAAATTATGAATATAATCAATTTTTGAATAATTATGAATATAATTAGTGTTAAATATATTTGCATTAGATTTTGTAAGTAAAGTTTAAATATGTTTCTTTGTGTATTTACATAGGTAATTAATATTTAAAAATCAATAACCTTCAAATTTGAGAGTTCCATATTTGGGTATATGAAACAAATAAACTGATTTTAACATTTTTTAGTTTGTGCTTTTTTGAAATATTTGAAATTTAACTTGAATTTTTTGTAATTAAAAGTGGGTATTTATGGGACATTCAGTATTTATTACCTGTGATTTAAAATAGACTGTAATCTTCATGACAAGATTTAAGCAAAAGAGAATTACATGTCACATCCCTCTAATGAATCCCAAAATAGTAAAAGTTTACTATGTGAAATGTATTTCTAACTTCTGATTGGTGTCCTGTATTTGCTGTTCATGAGATGGCTGTGGAATTCTCTAGAACAAATTATCATACTCTATCTAATCCCAGGGCTGGTTTTGTGAGTCTTGTAAGATTTTCAAAAATTGTTAATTAAAAATTGAAAAATATGCCTTACTCTGAAACGAAATTAAACTCAGTCAACTTACATATTTTTTAGGAAACTTAAATTCATTTGTCAGCAGGCAGAAACAGGAAGACAGTTCCCTTTAATGTTTCTTTTTTTTTGTATGTGGCAGCATGTTGCTATGGCTTCTGTAGTTCTTCATAACCTTTCTACTGTTAAACACTTCTAGTTGAGGCAAAGGAGAGATTATATTTGGTTTGCAGGGGAAGGGGTAGAATGGCATTTGGAGGGTTTATATGAGAAGGAGACTATGGGAAGCATGGCAAAGGGAGGTGGGAGGGTACTATGAAACTACCTACTACAGCCATTATTGGCCTCTTTCTCTATCCATCCTACACCCCATTTGGAAGTTAAGCAGTGAAGTGGCAGATTATCTTGTGAAAGCTAAACAGAAGAGGAAGAGAAGAATGGATACTTGAAATGTTAATAGCTCCTTTATTCTGCTTTATGGGAGAACCTTTGGAAAATAATAACCACTCACAGTTTATCCAGATGGATCAATCAGGGCATTTTTCAATTTCCCTTGCATTTCTATCTTAGAAACACCAAACATCCACACCAGAAAACCAGCTTATCTCCCAACATGCGTCAAAACTGTGGCATATACGTATATACAGGAATTCAAAGGAGAAAGTGGGGTTATATATGTGTAGTCCTGATTTCTTAGATGTAATATTTGCTTTGGGGCTCCTTTTCTTTTTCTTCCATCCTCTTCAGAATACTTCCTTTCACTTGCTGATTTATGGCTGTACTTCTAGAGACTAGGGAGATTTGGTTTTGCTCTGTTTTCTTTTAGCTGTTGGAAGCTAGGATTGTGATACTATTCATCTGCTTGATTACAAAAATTCTACTGCAACCAAAATTTTTTGGATGTCACATAGTTTGTCATCAAAGGATTTGACCAAAAACTCATTTTTGGTCTGCTCTGCTCTACCACTTTACCTCCCAGGAATGTTTTGAGAAAACATAAGAAATGATTGGAATAGTTTTTGTGATAATTGCTATCTAAATTCAAGGGTATTATTTTAATAACCAAGATGAAATCCTGTCTTTCAGGGAAATCTTTTCTGGGCCCTTTGTGCCTGTGTATCTGAGAGGCAGATACACAGGAGGCAGGTTAAGGGCATGGTCTCTAGAGCCCTGCCCTGCCACTTAAGTGTGTGGCTTTGGACAGATCACTTAAACGGTACAGATACCTCACCCTCCTCATTTGTAAAGTAGGGATGATAATAGCACCTATCTTAATTGGTGTGAGACTTAAGTGAGTCAATGTATGTAAAGCATATAGAACAATTCCTGGAACATATTAAGTGTCATGTAATTGTTAGCTATTATTAATATCGTTTTTGGAAATATTAATAAAAGAAATTATATCACATAATTTATTAATATTGGCTATACTTGGATTTAAAAGTTAATAGCTTTATGCTTTTGTTTTAGGTATATTAACTATTACCTTTTTCTCATTATTTTGTTTACATTTTTGAAGGTTTCCCAATGAGTGGATCATGATGACCGTATTGTAGGGACTTGCCATAGTATGGCTGCTTCCCGATCTACTCGTGTTACAAGATCAACAGTGGGGTTAAACGGCTTGGATGAATCTTTTTGTGGTAGAACTTTAAGGAATCGTAGCATTGCTCACCCTGAAGAAATCTCTTCTCATTCTCAAGTACGATCAAGATCACCAAAGAAGAGACCAGAGCCTGTGCAGATTCAGAAAGGAAATAATAATGGAAGAACTACTGATTTAAAACAGCAAAGTACTCGAGAATCATGGGTAAGCCCTAGGAAAAGAGGACTTTCTTCTTCAGAAAAAGATACCATAGAAAGGCAGGCTGTAGAAAATTGTGAGAGAAGGCAAACAGAACCTGTTTCACCAGTTTTAAAAAGAATTAAGCGTTGTCTTAGATCTGAAGCACCAAACAGTTCAGAAGAAGATTCGCCTATAAAATCAGACAAGGAGTCAGTAGAACAGAGGAATACAGTAGTGGACAATGATGCAGATTTTCAAGGGACTAAACGAGCTTGTCGATGTCTTATACTGGATGATTGTGAGAAAAGGGAAATTAAAAAGGTGAATGTCAGTGAGGAAGGGCCACTTAATTCTGCAGTAGTTGAAGAAATCACAGGCTATTTGGCTGTCAATGGTGTTGATGACAGTGATTCAGCTGTTATAAACTGTGATGACTGTCAGCCTGATGGGAACACTAAACAAAATAGCACTGGTTCATATGTGTTGCAGGAAAAGTCAGTAGCTGAAAATGGGGATTCGGATACCCACACTTCAATGTTCCTTGATAGTAGGAAGGAGGACAGTTATATAGACCATAACGTGCCTTGCACAAATTCAGAAGTGCAGGTCAAGTTGGAGGACCACAAAATAGTAACTGCCTGCCTGCCTGTGGAACATGTTAATCAGCTGACTACTGAGCCAGCTACAGGCCCCTTTTCTGAAATTCAGTCATCCTTAAGGGATTCTGAGGAGGAAGTAGATGTGGTGGGAGATAGCAGTGCCTCAAAAGAGCAGTGTAATGAAAACACCAATAACGCCCTGGACACAAGTCTTGAGAGTATGCCAGTCTCTGGAGAACCAGAATCTTCTGTTCTAGACTGTGTTTCAGCTCAAATGATGTCTTTATCAGAACCTCAAGAACATCGATATACTCTGAGAACTTCACCACGAAGGGCGGCCCCTACCAGAGGTAGTCCCACTAAAAACAGTTCTCCTTGCAGAGAAAATGGACAATTTGAGGAGAATAATCTTAGTCCCAATGAAACAAACGCAACTGTTAGTGATAACATAAGTGAATCTCCCACAAATCCTGATGAAATTTCTCAGAATGAAAAAGGAATATTTTGTGACTCTGAAAATTATGGGAGTGAAGGACTAAGTAAGCCACCCTCAGAGGCAAGACTTAATATTGGACATTTGCCATCTGCCAAAGAGAGTGCCAATCCGCACAATACAGAAGAAGAAGATGATGATCCTGATGTTTATTACTTTGAATCAGATCATGTGGCACTGAAACACAACAAAGAGTATGTGTAAATATGGTAACCATGAATTCTGCTTTGTTTATTATTCCCCCACGTTTTCAGTATCTGTTCATAAATGTCTATTCATAGCATTTTTATTATAGCTAAGATTAATGCTTTAGCTGAAATTTTAGGTTTAACATAATGATTATCTCAACTCTTAAAAAAACTCCAAAAAAAAGAAAGACTTTAAAACTCAACTTTATTACTCTTCTCAATGGCTATATGGTTTTTCTAGTTTTGATATTTCACACATCTCAAATAGAAAAGACATGGAAACGTGGTTGATGGCGTTTTTGTTTATTAATAAGTTTTGTACCATTTCAGTTAATTTGTAAAATGGAAACATCTTTAGTTTTCACAATACACTTTGGATGTATAGTTGTAGAGCTTTATGTGCCTTCCAGACAGCGTAGAACAATTAATGAGTGCTTAGACATTATATAGATGAGGGAAATCTGGCAGGCTATCTAATTTCCAATTAAAACTTTTCATTTAAAATGTACTTTATGCATTACCTTTGACTTTCGTGATTTGCAGAAATAGATATTACTATTAAAACTATGATAGGTAATTGTATATTGTAATTAGCACATTAGCAAGAGTTATAGTTGGCTCTATAGTTTACATAAAGTATTTGAGATAACTTTCTCCTGATTCTAAATTAGAAGGGGAGGCTATCTTAAAATGCTGTCATTTAGCCTTTGTAATGAAGGTACTTTTAAAAATAGGATGTCCAAATTTATCACAGTTTTGCTTAGATTTGCTTTAAAGTATTCTGGGTAGTAACACAAATGAATTGGAGCTAACTCTGAATAATCCTGAAAGGAACATTAATGAACAGTGAACAGTGCTTATCATGAATATCGGGATCAAAAACAGTAAAAGACATATATGAGTTAATCACCTTTACTCCTACAAAGTAAGCTTTTGAATTACTAGCACAGATTTTATAGGCTGTGGGAAAACACTGATTTGAGAAAACTTTGTAATGTTCTTATTGTGACAATTCCCAGATTCTGGTATGTATCAGATCAAAATAACCCAAATCCTAGTTGTGGACCATGACATAATATGGTGGCCTTTTAGCATGTTTCTTCTCTGAAAATTTTCCTTTTTTTTTAATAAAAGGTATTTTACTAGTTTAGTAGAGAGGTCATTTTATCCAAGCATTTTATTCATTCATTTTGTAAAACGGTTAACATTTTTATGTATTTGAAACATTTGAAGTCCAATTTGAGGTAGAAAACTCAATAAATGAATAAGTGAAGTTTTTTCCAATTTCAGATAGAGTTCTTACCATTAGTATTATGCATTAGTTTTTAAAAACAGAGTTGTTATCTGCAGGCAAAAGCAGCAGAGCATATGCTAGAGAAAAACCAAGAACTCAAGAAGTGTACATTTTAATAAAATGATACTCAATTCTGTTCTTTTTATTGTTTCTTTGGCAAAGAGATGCTCTCTTAAGGCTTAGCTGGTATATTGATGGAAAATATTTTCCCATTAATTCATTATGTTACATTTTTTGTTGGAGCTCTCCTGATGATCATTCTCAGGGATGATAAACCTATAAAACAATTGTCTAAAGATAGTGGCCATAACATTTAAAGAGTAATGTTCCATATTCTTAAGCCTTTGAGAATGAGAACAATATAGTTTCATGGGTTTCTCACGGTGTGCAAAGTCCTTTGGAATTTGGATGGTAGTTGCTTTTTTGGGGACAGTATTTTCAGTTTAATGCCTCATTCGGTGACGTTGGGCAAAAGAAATAACTCCTCCTTGCTTTTTTGCCTTCCTCCAGTCCTTTGAAGGTAGCACCTTTAGACACTTCACTTTTAACTTTTTTTCCTCCGACGGAAGCATATTGGGAAGAGTGAGATGGAGTGAGAGCGTCTTGATTAGCATCTTGGTTAGAGATAATTTAAAGAAAATTGAGAGAGGATGTTTGATCATGTTAGATGTAATCTCTTTTCAGTAACGTACTTCTTCCTTTGCTTTTTGTTTAGAGCCGAGAGTTGGTTGGATATAATGTTGGCTTTTTTTTTTTTTTTTACCCAAATTGTCATTGTAAAAAATAGCATCATGATACCCATCTTGTGCTTTGAGGTCTCAAGTTAATTTCTATCGGTTTGAAAATGCATTTGGGGTAAAGAAAAAAAGATAAATGGGTAGATGGAATAATACTCTCCTGCACACGCAGGTGCACACATACACCCCCATCAAATATTTTTTTTTCTTTCTTATTCTCTTCATGCTAGTAAATTTCCCCAGATAAGTGCCTTTGAAACTGGGAATTGGGCATTGCCCAGATTATACATGAATATCTTTACCAGTAGGGAGTGAATACTTCCTGATGGCCAGATTCAAAAATATGTTATTGATAGAAAACACTGAGCAGGCATATTTCTTTATCCAGAGCCGAGAGAACATGGCTCTTCTCATTCCATTTGCAACTCTTCTCTAAATTAACACTGATTAATCAGCAACCTTCAATCCTACCATTTAGCCTAAAATTTATCTGTCTTATTTGCAAGGGTATTACATATAGGGTCATCTAATGACTTGTAAATTTTTGAAAAGATATTATGTGTAGAATCCTAGCCTTAGACCTGATTCATGGTAATTAGACCATAGGCCAGAGAAATGAATTTGTGGGCATTCTGGATACTTAACCCTGTTTCCTCTCTAGATGCCATCTCTCTTATTCACATACACCCACAGTGTGCTTTTATATATTTATTTTTCCAAATGGAGAACTCTACTAGGAACAAGGGAAGGGGGACTGAAGATTATCTTTTTTTCCTGGCAAGATTCCAGGTGTGGATTATTTCATGAAATGTGAGTGGGTGGAGAATCAGAAGAAATACACTTTGTCTAAAAACTCTGGTCTTCAAGGTTGAAAGATTCTGTTAAAGTGGTAGATAATACCCAGTGACTCCCTTTTGGGCCTAAATAGCCAGACTGACTGAGATCATGTATTTAACTGTGATTTGCCTTTTCTCTTTGGGAATTGACCTTTTGTGGATTTTGAATCAGAAGTATTGAATCAGGTCTCTCAGATTTGAAGTTCTGGCTCTAGGGAGAGCAGGTATGGAAGATTTTAGGTCCTGGGTTTTAATGTTTCAGAGCTTTTTTTCCCAATTCACAAGGCCAGTCACTGGGAAATAAATATTCAAAAGAAAATGTGTTTTGGTCAATTTTCTCTGAATTCTCATTGTACAAGAATACTTAAGTAAATTATTTGAAGGGCCTTGGATAGCTTCATTTAAAGATCCTATAACTTTTCATAAACAGGCAGAGGATGAAAAGTCAGATTAAGAGTTTTTGGATTCTTGAGGTCTTCTGAAGGGTTAACTCATTGATAAGATTATTAATGTTTATACCAGTTTTCAAGTTTCTAGATAATGAAAGTATAAGAATAAGCTAGTTACTGCTTATCAAAAGAGTATTGCTCATATAGTCTGTAGGGAAGAAATTTTCAAGCCATATTAAAGAATATTTATGGGAATTGTATTTTTAAACTTGGTTCTCTGAAAACAATGTACTTCAAATAATATGATACGTCCTTTTATACTACGCTTATGTGAATCATTTGATATCTTCATTAGTTTCAGAAACTGCATAGAGAAAATCCTCATCAGGTCTTATTGTAGATTCACTTTCTTTGAGACTACTTTTACTGTTTGTCTAAGTTTCTCTCGAGGGGCCAGAAGGCTCCAGGACTAGGGATGGATTTTGCTTAGAAAGCAATAGAGGAGTCATCCTGCCCTAGATAAAATAATGTTACATTTGTACTTTGCTTCATAAGGTACAAAGTGATTTCCTCTAGTTTCTCATTTGGCACCCACTACAACTCAGAAGTAGATAGCATAGGTGGCATTATACAGTCCCCATTTCCTAACTTATAATTAAGGTTTTATTTTTTTTCCTTTTTTTTTTATTATGTTGTATCAATCACCGTACATTACATCATTAGTTTTTGATGAAGTGTTCCATGATTCATTGTTTGCGTATAACACCCAGTGCTCCATGCAGAACGTGCCCTCTTTAATACCCATCACCAGGCTAACCCATCCCCCTACCCCCCTCCCCTCTAGAACCCTCTGTTTCTCAGAGTCCATAGTCTCTCATGGTTTGTCTCCCCTTCCGATTCCCCCCCTTCATTTTTCCCTTCCTGCTATCTTTTTTTTTTTTTTTTCTTTTTAACATATAATGTATTATTTGTTTCAGAGGTACAGGTCTGTGATTCAACAGTCTTACACAATTCACAGCGCTTGGAGGGTATGTGCTATAATTAAGGTTTTGAAGTTACTTATTGAAATTCTGAGAACTACTGGTAGATATAGGACTAGAACTCCCATATTCTAATTCATAGTCAGAATTACTCCTGGTTATCTAAGGGAGCAGATACTGGGTACTCAGTTTTCAAAATTCTTTAGTATGAGTTTAAGCTCTGTAATTGTAATGATTATCTGGTTTTATCTGTCAGAGAATCAGCATTATAGGTAAGTAACCTGTTCTCTTTATTGGATGAAATGTTTTCATGTTCATGGTTTTAAAGAATATTCTGTTAGTGTGTCTGTGAAAAATAATTGCCCTGTACGAATTGGGTATATAAAACTACTTGCTACAGCTTGACTTTAAATAGATAATTTGGATAATTTGCAAAAATACTTTGGGGGATGTTTAGAATGCAATTGAGTATATTAAAGTCAGAGATTACTAGGGAAAACTCATGCATAGTGTACCTTCTCAACTAATTGGAAGAAGCTGTGGAATATAACAGCCAGAGTGGCCCCAGTAGTTTGGCACAAAATTTAATGAGGGGAGGGAAATAACTGTCCTTAATATAAAATTTTTGGTTGTAAGAGATACAGTATGCCATTGACTACTCAAAATCATCAGTGCAGTGAACTCTTGGTTTTTTCCTTTGAATGTCAGCATCTTTTATTTCAAGTGATGTAAATGGTTTATAAAAGTGATTCTCTGTTGTAATCCAAGTG